TGAAAAAAATTATTTTTAATAGTTAGAAATGTTTCGGTCCATTAAGTCGTATACATTTCTTAATTATTTCTTAATACCGTGTGCCTGTGTAATGCTCTTCTGTGTCCTCCGTGTCCTATTGTATTGTTTCATGCCAGACAATATCTGCTACTCTCATGATTCTACCAAAAAATACGAGGATATATGACCCATTAGCTTTCTTATATTAACAGCAAGAAGTGTATCGTCCACTTATGGTGCTATACGTATAAGAGTCTGTAAGGTTCACCGAATTTTCCCCTCCTTTTTCGAAATGGAATTCTGTAGAAAACGGGGTTTTTTTTTTTGCAGAATTAAAGGTTGGTGGATGATGCATCATTACGTGTCATCTGTACTGGCCGGTATCACTGTGACATGGGGCGGTGGAGAATGCTATCAGAATATTCGTAAACAATTTGTTATTTTCTACTTCTATCTCTCCGTTGTTCAGGTCCGACTTTCAATGAATTTTCAGAAAATCAATCGAAATTCTTCCGAATTTTAACTGTTTTCGGTTTTAGTTGCTGCAGTGCCGCTACCAGACAGGCTGTTTACGTCGTTTACGTGCACTTGGTCAACGTCATAGCATGGATATAAGTGTCGGTAAGAACACTTTATGCATTTCGTTAAAGTCGACGCTAACAAAAGTCCTGAAAATCTTAGTGAAAAGTTTTCCACACTAACTGCCTTCTTGGTGAAAAGACGACAGCACTAGTTACCTCGGTGACCTTGATGAAAATTTATTAAAAAATCTGGAGCTGAAATAAAAAAATTGAGGGCGTAGGAGTTACAAGTTATATGTTTAATGTTGGAAAGTAGCCTGTGTTTCATCTCTTAGCTTTAAACAGCAGATAGAACTCTGCGTACAGGTAGGAGCGGGAATCGTTGGTACAACTCGCTATCCGCTATTTATAAATGTGGATGAGGACGAGAGTTATCAATACAGCCTTCTGCACAATACGTCTAGAATTTCTTCGTTTAAGCTAGTGGCGGTTTGTTTCACCTTTTATCTCGGTCCTCATCTTCATTCCTCTGCTCTTCCCATCAAATATTTGAATATATTAAGTAATAAGAAATAGAACGACACGCCTATGGTGGTGTCAGTTTCAGTGAGAATTCAGAATCGATCACGTATGCTTAATGATGATTGTTACTGGTTACAGAAGGATTCAGCAGCTGGATGTTCAGAGGACTTACTTTTCTCATACCATTTCTTGTGCTTACATATATTTTCCAGTTCTTCAATGCATATAAATTGTACCATTTATCGCAGCTACCAGTATGTTCCGGTCAATGGCAGGTAAGATGTTTTTTGGAGACAGTTTCGAGGGATCAGAACTCATAAGAGTTAATCATTCCTTCTAGAAATTAACTAATTTTTGTAATTAATTTATTTTAAATACTTGGATTATTTGTAACCAGTTGCCAACAAATGTTTGTGCTGATTCAAAAAACCGTACATCGAAATTCCCAGGAATTTACATTTTCGATGTTTTCTCTTCTGTC